TCACTAATCTTATTCATTATTAATCTGGTACATCCGTCGATTATCTTTTATCTTTCATTCTAAACCTAAAATCCAAATTTCATGAATTGCTCATAATTATGATTGCTAAAGATCCATTCCATCCCATTTGTAATTTTAATAAATAACTTTTAATAATAATAATATTTAATAATATTTTTTAATGATTTTAATAACTTATCGAATGGTTCTTTGCCAGGTTAAATCATAAGAAATCATTCGTCGATAAAAATATTAAAAAATAAAAAAATTTTTTTTTAAATTTTATTTATTTTAATAAATTTTCAAGTGAAATAATGTTATTTTCAAAAAATGAAAATCAAAATCATTATTATTCAATGATTTATAATAGTGATAATAGTGATAATAATTGTGATAATAATAAACAAGAAGCATTTTATCATTCACAATTATTTTTTGATTATTCAAATGCAATAATGAATGATGATGTTTCAAATGAAAATATTCCACAAACTTCTCAAACTAAAATAGTTCAATCAGAATTTTTTTGTCAAGCGAATACAATTCAAAGTGATCATTCAACAATGTTGGTTTTTAAAAATTTTTTAAAAAATTCGTAAAAAAAAATGATTTTAAAAAATTTATAAAAAAATGTAAAAAATGAAATGATTTGCATTTATAATATATTAATAAATCATTTATTTCAATTTTTTCCTCAATTTTTTTTTTATTGATAAAAATAATTTTTTATCAATTTTTAGGAAATAAAAAAAATCATTTTTTTTATTTAGGCGAACAAATATAACGGCGACAAATAAAAACAAATTAGATCGTGTTTATCAGTGGAATAATGATCACTATAATCATTGTTATCATGATAATTATTATTTGAATAAATCTAATTTTCAATCTTCAAAGGTTTCATTATTTTTCTTTAATTTTATGATAACAATGGTAGCAATGATACTGATAAATATTTATGATAAAGGGAAATTTTTTTTAAATTATTTTTTTTAAATTGATTAAAAAAAAAAATTTTTTTTTGAGGAAAAAATATAAATGAATTAATTAATCCAAAAAACTATAAGATATATGCCATAAGCTATTAACGTTTATTAGTATAGCCAAACTTTAAACCAATCAATTGATTTTATCAATAAACTGATAGATTTATTGATAAAATCAATTGATTTTTCGTAAAATTCAACTGAAAAAAATAGGGATATGAAAAAAGTTTCAGCAATTATCAACGATCTCATGTTTATCACAAAACTCTAAAATAAGTACATTATCACTAATGAGTAATTTAAGCATTTCAACTGATATTACCGGTCTTCCTGATTCAAATTTTCAAGTAAATTAATTATTTTTTTTCTTTAATTTATTAAGAATTTATAAATTTAATTATAAAAAAGCTTATAATATTCGTAAAAAATATTTATAAATTGAAAGTAAATTGTGGAATAGAATGGTTCAGTCGGTTGTAGCACTCATTTCGATGCGTCGATACTTGGGTTCTATTCCTTTGGGTTGAGTTCGATGCACGAATAAATCTATATTTCAAAAATCATGGCAATACTACTGCAGTTAAGGAATTTTCACTTCTATCGCTATGTGGCTGTCTGGCAAAGAGTTTACCAATAAATCGGACCAATAAATCGGGAAAAACTTAGACTGAAATGATGAATTTAATCTCTTAAAACCAAAGAAAATTTGAAAAGTCCAAAATTTTAATTTTAAATTAAATTTTTTTGAATTTTAAAATTAAAAGTAAAAAATAAATTAAATAAAAAAATAAGCTAAAAATTCATTCATTTTCAGTATTATCCTAAATCATCAAATGTATCAATCACCGAGAATTTCGATCCAAATTATTACTATAAAATTGAACAAATTATTGATGAAAAAATTGAAAAAATTAATACTATTAGAACAAATAATGTTAATTTTCTTATTTTTTTTTATTGTGTAATTATTCTGGAAAAAATTGGAAAAAATTTAAAATTATTTAAATATAATTATAATATAATTTAAATATATAAATTTATTTAAAATTATTTAAATTGTATTAATTTAATTTAAAGAAAATATAAAATTTTATAACATAAATGCGAAGAAAAAAAAAATTTAATTATATCTCAGTGGGTTGTTGCTCAATTTGAAGCGCCTGAATGCTGAGGTTCTATTTTCACTAGGAATAAACTTATCCTAAAATTCGGGTGATGCTGGCAACTCACCTTTACTTCTATTGCCCAAGGAACTTCAGGCATATTTGTCCAGTGCGACAAGCCATCGGAGCGAGTTTTAACCAGTAATGGTGAGGGTTCTTAAAAAAAAAAAGTGTGCCCTCGTTAGAGACGAATAATGCTGAGTGCTAAACATTTATTTATTTACTTACTATTTATCACTCCATATCTTCACTTACTTACTTATGCGGCATGCATACATGCATTCTCGCTTAATTGGTGGTATAGGATTCATTGCAATTTAATTTTATTTACTTAATTACTTCCAATAATTACTTCCAATACTTTTTTTTCGAAATTTTTTATTTAAATTAAAAAATAAAAAATTTTAATTTTAATTAAATTGATTAATTTAGAAAAAAATTGATAAAGAATTAATAAATTTATCAGAAAAAATTTATAAATTATCACGAGAACATGATTTATCAAAAATTAATTACGAAAAACTTAAACAATTTATTATAAATATTATGTATTTAATTAAGAATGCTCCGGACGATATTGAAAAGGTTTTTTTTTTCTTCTTTTAAAAATATAACTTTAATAATAAATGAAAAATTGCTAAATGAAAGTCGTCGATTCGCATAATCGCTTGGAAAAATGGTTTATCGCTTCGAAATATCAATTCTTATTTATTTACTTATTTGTTTATTTATTTATTTTCTTATTTTTGTTTATTTATTTGAATTTTTAAAATGTACAATTTTCTTCAAAAAAAGACAAATAAAAAATAAATTTATTGTACGAATTTATTTATCAACAAATTCATGGATTTTTAATATTGTTTTTTTTATGTTATAATATTTTTTAATATTTTTAAATTTCGAATTTAATATTCTTTTCAAAAAATCAAATTTTGATTTGTTTCTGTAAATATCTGTTTTTTTTCATATTAATTTAATATAAAAACTAAATTATATCTATAGAAATTATAAAACCTTTCGAAAATTTAGAAAATTTTCAAAGAAATCAAAAAAAGCAATAAATAATACTGATAATTATACAAAACAACTAACAATTTAAGTAAAATATTATGGTACCTATCCTAAAATGCAAAAACTTCCATTAAAAACTGGCAGCGGCTGGCATCTATGGAAATTCCGGAGGTATTATCCGGTCGACAAATAGTGATATCTTGATAGAAAATGCGGAACAGACCATCTTATTTTGGCAAGCCACGTTTGCGCGCGGCTGTGTTTTTGAGTGGGTGCTATAGTAAAACTGAAGCAATAAAGCAATTTTATTTTTTAAATACCTGCAATAAATAAATAAATAATTTAGATTCAACAAGCATTACTAGCATCAATTTATATATTTACGACGAATTTTTCCATTTATCAAATATTAAAAGATGTAAGTTTTATTATCATTTTCATTTTAAGCATCAATTTTATTATATATTATTTTTTATTAAAATGGTATTTTTGTTTATTTATTCATATAATCGGTCGGTCGGTCGAAGTGTTGGTCCCTCGGTCCATTTGTCATTTAAATGGTTTCTTAGTCGGTTGGTTGGTTACTCGATCGATTAAATGTAAAAATTAGTAAAAAAAAAAAATAATTCTCTTCAGCTTTTATTGATTACATAAAAAGTATTTAAATTATAAAAAAAAATATTTCTAATAAAAAATAAAAAAAATTATTGTTTTTATAGATAATTCGATGTCATTGCGATGAATTTTTAAATATTTTTATTCAAAAATTAAGGTTCATTTAATAATTTTTTTTAAGTGATTTTAATGATATTCATAAATAATATTTAATTTTACTAATCCAATTAAATTATTCCGCGAATTTCGCGGACAATAAATATTTTTTATCATTTTTAAACGACGATACTTAGCAAATGTTTTTGTTTTTGAAAAAAATTATTTTACGCTTATTTCGAATTTCTAAAATTTAACTTATGAATTTTTATTGAAAACGTTGAATTTTTTACTAATAAATTTTGGTTTGAAGATATTTTTTCAAAAATTTGTGATTTTTATAAAATTTAATTCATATTCATATTTGTTTTTTCAATTTTTGTTTTTCTTTTCTATTTCATTTATTTTTAAAAATTTTCAATTTTACAGAAATATTTAAATATTTAATATTTAAATTTTCATTTTTTTTCAGTTTTCATCATTATTATTATTGTAATTTCGCAATTATTATAATGCATACATTATTAATTTATATCAACGAAAAGCGAATACAATTGTCGTACAATATGAAAATTGAGGTGTTTTTTCATTTTTTTATTTTTATTTTGAATTTATTTTTCTGTTTTCTTAAATTTAAATGTTTTTTAAAAATATTATTTATAATAAAAAATTTTTTCTTTCCGAAAAAAATTTCCATATTATTTAAATTGTTTCGAAAATTCTTTTTTTTTCAGTAGAAAATATTAAAAAATTAATATTAATATCTTAAAACATTAAATATTTTTAATATTAAATATTAAAATTAATTAATCTTGAATAAAAAATTTTTTTTTTGAATAATAGACAATATTTTTAATTTTAACATATTCAAATTCCAATTCAGATTATTGAATATTGTAAAGCGTTAATAATATTATTATTATTGTTATTATATTTTTATTGCTATTGTTTATTGTTGCTATTATTATTATTAATTATTATTATTAATTTATTATTATTAATCTATTATTAATTTATTGTTGGAACAAAAAAAAAATTTTTTATTTAATAATATAATAAATAATATATAAAAATAAATTTTTAATTTAAGATAATGACGAAATGTGTAAATATATTAAAAATATTTATAATGCAACGAAATGAAGAACATCGTTTACGAGAAAAAAATAAAAATATTATTATCGATATAATACGAATTCTAATGTGCCACGATGATAAATTAAAGGTTTTTTTTTAAATTTATTTTTATTAAGTAATAAATTTTATTTTATCTTCTTTATTAAATTTTTTATTATTATTTTTATTTATATTTATAATTTTTAAATTAAATAATATATTTAAATTTATAATTTTTTGAAAATTTAAAAATGAATTTTCTGTTCTAAAATTTTTAAATTTTTAAATTTTTAAAAAATTTCACTAAATTTGTTATATTTTTTTTAAAATAATATATTTTTATATATTCATTAGCACTTATTTGCTTCGTTGGTTCATTCGACTTGGATTAAAAGGCTATTTTATAAGAAAGTAATTTAGTGGTAAGAGTGCGAGTGCCATTGGTACTTATTGCCATCCGGGTTTGCCTTATAATAAAAAGAATAAAAGAAGTGCACAAACTATGAACGAAGTAGTGGTCCAAAATAAAATAACATTCAACCATATTATCTCCTCATCAAAATCCGCTGTAAAACCTGAGTACAATTCCAGTATCGCGCGTCGCGAAATGACAATAATCCACTTTTACCCCTCAGAAAATTGGAAATAAGATTAAATTCGTACTGGATTTCGATAATAATGATTTAGAAAATTGGATTTAAACTTATAATTAGCCAAATATTAGGTTAGGCTGTGAAGCAGAATGGCTCAATGGGTTGTTGCTCAGTTCGAAGTTCGCCGATGCTAAGGTTCTACTCTCGTAATGAGTAAACTTGTACAGAAATCCGGAAATCCGGATGATGCTGGCGACTCGCCTGCACTTCTGTCACCAAGAATCTCTTTAGCGTATGACGTTCGAAATACTGATGGGTCGCCAGCGGCAACGGATTTTTCAAGAATATTTATGCATAGATAAGATTAAGCATATACGAGAGGAAATCTATGTTAAATTCGAAATCTTCCTATTTCCATATTTTGAAAATCACTTTACTTTATTTCCAAGTAAATTACTGCTAATTCTCTCGCGAAAAGGGTTTCATTTATTTTTTTTTTATGTATAAATATTAAATATTATATAAATTATATATATATTTTTTATATAATCAGACAAATTTTATACAATTTCAAAAATTCAAAATTGCAATAAATTTATTGCTTTTTCGCGATAATTAAAAATAAATTACTTTTGATTTATAAAAAAAATTATAAAAAAGATTTTTTAAAAGAGTTTTCTATTACAAAAAATAAAAAGTTAAAAATTTTTCTATTTAAAGATTTAAAATTTTTTCAAATTTTCAAAAAATTTTAAAATATTTTTGAATATTTTTATTATTTAATTTTACTATTTAATTTAATTTAATATTTTAATTTTACTATTAAAAAATATTTTTTTCATTTTTTTATTGGAATTTTTTAATAATTTTAAAAATAAAAAATATTTTAGAAATTTTTAATCGAAAATGATTGTATTCATCTACTTTTTTGGTTTATCGAAAATGAAAATATTGAACAAATAATTTTTTATTCAATATTAACGTTACGTTATTTACTTTATGATGAAATTATTGCTAAAAATTGTGTCAATTATGGCGGCGTTAATGTTTGTTTGTTTTTTCCAAAGAAGAAAAATAATTTTATTCTTTTAATTTAAAATTTTTTTCCAGTTTTTTTTTAGAAAATTGCTTTTTTTCATTTTTAATTTATATTTTTATATGATTTTAAATGAATTTTTTTAAAATTAAATTTTTAAATTTTAATAAATAAATAAATTTTAATCAAATTTTTTCTTAGTCAAATACATTAATTTATAGTTTTTTTTTTTTTAAGTTTTCTCATTTATATTTATATTTTTTGTTTTATTTTATGTTTATTTTATTATATTATTTTATTATGTATATATTTATATTTTTTACTTATTCATATTTTTTTAAAATTTATTTTATTTTTATTTCTATTAGCGTAAACTATTTTTTGATTGGACTTGCATCGCTGGTTTGTCGGTTCAGCCAAAATTTATTTAAATTTTTGATTAATATCAAAGATTCACTTGGCATTAGAAGTGTAAATGTGGGTGCGAATTTTTGCATGATATTTACTCGTGTCGGGAGGGGAGGGGGGGGGGGGGGGGGGGGGACGAGGGTTGGCATTTTACTGGCTACAACTGGCATTAAACTGGCAGCAAATTTTTATCAAATCTGCCGAACATTTCTATCATCCACATCGTTTTTTCTATAAATGATTTTCTTTTTTCATATTTTTCATATTTTATGTCAAATTTTTTGTGAAATTTGTCTGGCATATTTTATTTATGTTTCCCTCAAAAAACTGAATAATCCTGAAGGGATTCATTGGAAATTATGGAATAAAACAATATAGATTTGTTTTGTTGCTTTAAAAATTGAATATATCGATTATATTATCAATTATCACTTATCAACAGCTAACAGTTATTAATTAATATTATATTGTTGTTTTGTTATTATTTAGGTTTTAACGAAAAAATTATCACATGGATCACCACGAGTACTTCTCGAATGTAGCAAATGCTTATCAGCAATCAGTGATGTTGATATATTACGAGAAAATCCAATATTTGTGGAAATAGATCGAATTTTACAATTACTAGGTTCATCCGATGCACAACTCGTTAAGCATTTAATTGGTTTTCTTGGTAATATTGCATCGGCAAATCAGTTTAAAACTGCTAATCCTAATAAGGTTAATTTTTTTTTAAAAAAAAAATCTTTTTTTTATATTTTTTTTCTCGTTTTTTTCGAATTCTCTTAAATATTTATATTTAATATATTTATTTTTCTTGTATTTTTTTTATTTTTCTTGTAATATATTTCTTTTTATATTTTTATATATATTTTATTATTTTATATATATATTTTACTATTTATTATTATTATTTTTTATTTATTTATATATATATTTTTCTTGAATTACCGTCACTATTTATAATTTATTAAAAAATCTTTTCATATTTATTTAGATTTAAACGTCTTTTAAATGTCCAATTTTCCTAAATTCCTATTAAATTATTAAATAATTTGAAATAATTCATTATATTAATATAAATATTACAAATTTTATGATAATTTATCTTTATCTTTTTAAATTTTTAAATTTTAAATTTAATTTTTTAAATTTAAAATTATTAGTACATAAAATTGATTTTTTTTTTTGATTCTTAAATATTTTAAATAATGCATAAATAGTAATTTTATAGAAAAGAAAGCAATTTAGAAGGAATTTGAAAAAAGATGAACAAATTTTCTTCACTTTATTTTACTTGAATTTTTTCTTATTTCATTTTTTCTAAAATATATTTTTTGAAATTATACTAAAAAAAAGAGAAATAAATAATATATATTTAAATATTATAATAATTAAATATTAAATGAAGATTAATTTGATAAAAAATGAATAATTTTAATTTTTTATTAATAATTAATCATTTTATAATTTTTTTTTTATAATCATATAATTTATAATCATAATTTTTTAATTAATTAATCATTTTATTACTAAAATAAATTATGCCCAGCAAATAATGATACAAGTGAATAAATAAACAGTGGTAAATGATGATATGATAATGATGATATGATGTGAATGATGTAATGACTAAATAAATGATAAAATAATAAGTAATAATAATAAATAAAATAGTAAAATAATTTATAAATAAAATAATAACAAATAATAATAATAAAATAATAATTTATAATAAAACAATAAATAATAAAAATAAATAAATAATTTTAATTTAGGAATATCTTGTAAAAAACAATGCATTAGAAAGTTTAATTCGTATATTTCATTATAATCGTTATCCGATGGAAATAGTTTCATATGAAATTATTGAAAATTGTATATTTGCATTAAAAAATTTAACGGCTAATTTTTCTTCAAATGATTTTACAAATGCAGTAAGAAAAAAGGTTTTTTTTTTATAAAGAAAATTAAAATTGAATAAAAAGAATAAGAAAAATAAAAATATTTGAAATGTTATTCAAAAAAAAAAAATATAAATGTTAGAAAAAAAAATTAAGAATTGATATTTTATTTTGTGTAAAGAAATATTTTTAATTGCTATTTTTACAAAGAAAAAATTCTTTTTAAAATGAAATTTTTCATTTTACGAAGAGAAATTTTAAAAAAAAAATCTTTTCTTTTGAGAAATTGAAATATTTTGATATAAAATAAAATTAAAAAATCTTTCTTATCGAACAGCATTTTATCATTTTATCAGTGATAAAATTTTTCTAGTTAATATCAATAAAAGGATCAATATCAATATTACTCGAACATTTATCATGGTTTCATCCAAATGATTCAATTCCAAATATTTTTATTTTGCAAATTAATAATAAAATTAATCTTCTAATTGTATGTAAATTTTTTTTCTAAAAATTTTTCTCGTTTATTATTTTTCATTTGACTGGTTTGGCTGGTTTGACTTTTCGGTTTCGGAAAAATTTTATCACTTATCACTTAACAATAGATTTAAATTTGGGTGGTTAGAGAATTGTGGAGAATTTTCGAATGATTTCGAGTTTGCTCTTCGTGTCGAGGAATAAAAAAAAAAAAACATTGGAGCCAAGAAATAAATGCATTAGTTCCATTTTATTTCGTAGGCAAACCTTAATTTTTCTTTTATTTTATTTAAATTTATTAAGTTAATATGAAATATTTCGAAAATAAAAACAAATATAAAATAATAATAAATATTTTAGGTAATAGAAAGATTATTAGATTCCGAATTATCATATCATTTATTTAAAGAATATACATTCAATGGTTTTAATTCATTACAAGTTTTAATAAATATCGCTATTCAATCGTTTCAGATGAATGTTAGTCGACGTTTTGATAGTGAAAAAATTTTTTATTTCTTTCTAATCAATGAATACGTAGCGATAAGAGAAGAAATAATGATAGGTGATAAAATTGCTGATAAGCGAAAAAACTTGCTTTATTGAAGAAATTTGTTTATAATATATGTGCATCTATATATCTTAGATAGAGAATACAATTGATTTTTTATAAAAAAAAATTTTTTTTTTTTTTTTTACGATTAAAAATAATTTTTTCTAGGCATTTAATATTTTGGATGAACAAAATCGATTATTAACACTAATAAATAATGCTTTATTGATGATAAAAAGATTTGCAAGTGATAAATATTTTTATTTATTATTAGAACCAATTTCGAGGTATTTTATTTTGCTTAGATTTATTTTTTATTTGTAATATAATTTTTATTATGTAATTTTTATAATGTAAGTATGAAAGTATGAAATTTATATAAACTTAACTTATAAACTTATTATATTATATGAATTATATTTAATTATTTAATTATTATTAAGTATTATTATTCATTTAATTATATAATTGTATAATTACATAATTAGTTTTTCCATTAATTAATTATGTCATACGAATTTTATTCATTTGTTTTATTTAATTGATATATTTATTTTTAGTCTTTTTTCTTTTTTTAATATTTTAAATAATTTTTTATCAATTATTTTATTTTAACCTTAAAATTTTAATTTATTTACTCATCTTAAGAGAGTAAAATAAAGCAAAAAGAATGTGTTTATTAAAAATAACAATCTAATGTTATGAAAATCTACTAAGAATCCATAAAAGATATTAAAATAAAAGAGGTAGAATGGCTCAATTGGTTGTTGCTCATTTCGGAGCGACTATGCTGAGGTTCTATTCCCTGCGGGAGTAAACCTGTCCAAAAATCCGGATGATGCTGGCGACTCATATCTTCTTCTATCGCCTTGGTCTTGTGCGATAAGCTAGCGGAGCGAGTCTAACCAGTAATGATGAGGGCTCTTTAAAAAAAAAAAAAAAAGTATTAAAATGCAAGGTTAATATTATTGAAATATTCAACCGTAGAATTGAAATTATAAAAGTTGCTTAATCGATTCTTTAAAACGTGAAATGCATGATGCGTATAGATTTGATTATGTCGTTATGTATTTTACTGCAATAAATAGCATAAAATTCTGAGTTTTGAATTTACTCAGATTTCAATTAGTTTGAACTTAATCCAGCAAATAGGCATTAATTTCAATTCATTTTTTTTTTTGTAGAGTCCTCACCATTGCTGGTTAAACTTACTCCACTGGCTTATCGCATTAGACAATTTTCCTTGGAATCTCTTGGCGGTGTAAATACTGATAAGTCGTCAGCATCATCCGGATTTTCGTATAGGTTTACTCCTGCAGGGAATCGAATCTCAATATCGACGCTTCCAATTGAGCAACAACCCACTGAGCCATTCTGTCCCAATTTCATTGTGACCATATAACAATGGAATTCCAATTAAAGACGGGTGATACTATCAAATTACCTGTAATTTTGTCGCCTAGCAAAATCTCTCTATCTGATTCGATAAGCCAGCAGAGCGAAACAGCAAATCTTTTAATTCATAATGAATCGAACTGGCTGGTAGGAGAGCAATTTAGCTTTATGATTGATAGAGCTATTGAGAATTTAGAAATATATACAAAAAATATTTAAAATATTTTTTTAATCAATAATTTTAATAAAAATTAATTTTTTAAATAATTTTTAGTTTTAATTTAATTTAATTTCGATATTTCATATTTATTTCTTCGTTTTTTAAAGAATTTTTTTATACATAAAAAAAATTAAATTTATTTAGAAAACCATCGGAATTTTATGTTATATTACGTCATTCATCAAATAAAAATAGTGTAAAAGTAATTTTACAAATTATTGAAATTATTTCCACAAATAAATTAGTTAAAAATATTTTAATGAACGACGAATTATTTATTGGAGAATTAAATTATTATAGTAAATCGATTGAAGTTGGTGAGTTGTTTCTTTTTTTTAATTAATTTTTAAAAATTTCTAAATTCGAATTCAAAAATCTTAGAATATTACACTTTTTTTTCATTTTTATATTTATTTTAATATATCAAATATAATGCATTTCCAATCTCATTGTTTTTTGCTGTCTCAATTGCTTGGATTTTATTGTGGCACCCACTCCAAAACACAGCTGATGTATATGCTAAAATGCGGGTGGTAGCGGGAATTGCTTATATTTAAAACGCAGCTCTTCCGATACAATACTGGAACGAAATTTTGATGGATTGTGAGTTAGTGGTCCGATTAAACTTAGGAGAGGTGAGGGGTGTGTTGGGGTTGACAATAATCATTTTGGTTTATTCCACTCCATTCCCTTATGCTTCTGCACTAATTGCCTAAAGCGCCCATATTTAGTTGCTATATTTTTAGCGTAAACGTTTTAGGCTGCCATAGTAATCTATTATTATGGTTGTGCTTTTGAGGATATGACGATTGTTTAGCACAAATGAAAATAATTTACAATTTTAAAAAAATGGATTTAAATTTTGTTATATTTTTTATTATATGGCAGTTAGGCAGAAATTATAGTAGCGATAAAATGAAGAGAAGTAAAAAATGTTAGGTTAGGAAAATTTAAATTCTAAATATATAGGACTAATATTGACTGGCCAATCAACTGGCCAAGCCACTGGCCAGTCAACTGGCCAAGCCACTGAGCCTCCATCCATCATTTTTTCAACGTATATTTTCATGATTTGATTTAGTAAAAAAAATTTGGAAATACGTAAAATGCAAATGCAAATGCAAATATTTTTTTTCTCTCTCTTTCTTGACCGGAGCATTCACCATTATTCGCTACTCTGGCTTGTCACTCTAGAAAAATGTGCTAGGAGGTCTCTTGGGCGACAGAAGTACGAGTGAGCCATAAGTATCATCCGGATTTTTGTACAGGTTTTTCCTGGCTGGAATAGATCTCAGCATCGACTTTCCAAATTAAACAACAATCCCACTGAGCTATTCTACTCTCTCTTTTGTTTTTCTCCGTTGGTCTTCAATATTGCATGAAGAGTGGTGCATGGGCGAGCGAACACCAAATCTCTATTCTCGATTATCGTACCACTGAGCTATCGTCCCTGACCGTTAATAATAATAAAATTAAATTAAATATGTAATAAATATAAATTTAATTTAAATTTAAATAAAGTTTTAAAAAATTAATAATAAATTAATAATTCAAAAATAAAATAATAAATAAGAGATAATAAAATAAAAAATAATAATCGTAAAAGTAAATTTTAGAGAAATTTTTTAGAAAAAAATAATTCAATTTTAAAAAATCAATTATTACTTCTAAATAAATCATTGTTTTGTTGGCTAAATAATTTCTTTTTTTTTTTTAAATAAAAAAACGAAATAAAAATTTTTTATTAATTTTTTAAATTTCATAGAATTTTAAATAAATCTAAAAATATATAAAAAATTTAATAAACATATAATAAATTTTAGGTGAATTTGCTCGACGAATTTTGCGACAATTATTAAATCAACAATAGGAAATTTTTTTAAAAAAAAAAAATTTTTTTTTTTTTTTGTTGTTAATTTTCAATAAAAATAAATTTTGTATTTATATATATTTTTTTAACATTTTTTTGTTAATAAATTTGTAAAATTTTCTTCTATTAATTATGAATAATATTAATATTAATAATTCATAATTTGGTTTCGCTAGGAGCCATTTTGCAAGCCGCTCGATTCCGATGTCATATTTTTCTAATAGCTAAAAAGATTCTAATCGTTTAAGACTATTTATAGACTATCTATTCATCAAAATATCATATCATATCAGTGATAAAAATAAAAATAGTAATCAGTAATAAAAATAATAATAGTAAAAATTAGAATTAATATTTTAATATAATTTGAAAAAAAAATGCAACGTGTAATTTTTTTTTTTTTTTTTCGTTGACTAATCTGTTATATGATGAATAAGGAAAAGAGTACATAATTGATGGATTTAAATCTTTGCGGAATGATAGATGAAGAAAAGAGTATACATGATAAATTCTTTTTTTTTTTTTTTCTGGCCACTTGGTTTTTACTATTGATGGTTTGGCTGGTACGATGAATAAAGGATGAGACCTCCGAGATTTCTAAGCCTCCTTCCGATCAGATTTTAAATTCTAAGCATAAAAAAAATGGCAAGATTTCCGAGTAAATATTGGAATAGTGCAAAGTGCGAGTTCGCACGTTTAAATTTATTGCGCAAACAAGCGTCATATTTGCACTGCTTCATATAACATCTGCATTGTAGGTGCGAATTTGTCGCGCATAAAAGTGCAAAAGGTGCCGACATATATGTGCTAATAGCTCGGACAACTGTTGCGTTGCGTGCTCAAACATAAATATTTATATATTGTATGGACTATTAAACTATGGATATATAGCTGTGCTCTTAAATGGTGTAAAGCGTGCAAACCGTCTATTGTGCAGTTTTTCAAATATTCATTTTATTTTATTTTGTGCACTTGTGCACAGTTAAAACCTTTTAGTTCACCCGCACTGCACATTTGCAGAATAAAAAAATTCACCATATGTGCAAATATGTGCACAATTTGCGTCCAAATGTAAATGTAAATATGTAAACATAGCTTAAAAAAAAAATCATCATTAAAAGCGTTCGTGACGTCAATAGGGCTACGCCCATTGCTCAAAAACTGAAAAAATCGATTAATATATTTAGTTCACATGCCGTCAACGAATGATCACGGCTCTTTTTTATTGCCATCGCACTTACTGCACATTCGGATTTTGCACATATTTGTGCACCTTCTACGCTTTCTGTGCGTTCTTTTATAGCACTTCTTCGTGCACATTTTTTTTGCTATTATTCAAATGATTTTTTCTGATTTTCAGTTTGATTTTATTTTAATTATATTTCCATATTCCTCATTTATTTTATTTTTTCTTATTTGAATCTTTATCTTATCATCCTTATCAGTTCTCCTATCGTTACTTAGTGGATTAGTGATCAATGATAATTGATAATCAAATAAATTTCCCAAGCGATAAGTTTAATTTTTTTCATTTATTTAATTTTTAAATTCTTAAAATTGGTTAGTTCCGTTTTATAAACTTAGTTTTGAGTATTTCCCCTATTTAATATAATATTT